GCCTCCGCTCTGGGGGTCCGGGGGCGCCACTGTGGGGAGGGCTCCGCTGGGGGCGGGGACTCCGCTCTGGACGGCGCCGCTTCCGGGCTCTGCTTTCCCCCCGGGGTGATCGTGGAGGGCGGAGCGGGTCTCGGAGCCGGTCTCTGAGCGAAGTGAGTCCCAGCCCGGGCTCCCAGTTACAGAGGGGCGGGGCGTCCTGGTCCTGGGCTGGGGCGGCGCTTTCGCCCACGCTTGCGGAAGCTTCCGGGGCGCCCTGCCACCCTGCGCCGTCCCCAGCCTGTGCCCTCTCCGGGGTGCGGGGCCTGCAGCTCTGCCCCCAGGACCCTATCAAGTCCTCAGCGCAGCGAGCTTCTCGGCTGGGGCGCGGCCAGCTTGGGGCCAAGGGAGCCCCGCTCGCCCCTGCCCTGTGCTGCTAGAGGCTTCCGCGGGGGCGGAGCACAGGCAGGGCCCAGCCTGAGGTCCAGCAAGCCCGAGGGGAGGACGTGTGACTCCTGTCCGAGGGCGGTGGGCAGGGGCGGGAATTCGCGCCTCAGCTCTGCAGGTCAGGGCTGAATTCAGGAGCAGCGCCCCCCACCCCCCCCAGCTGGAGGGCTACAGACCTCGCTGGGCTCCGGGGTCACACCTCGCCGGCACTCGCCCCCCGGGCGCCTTCAGGCCCACGCCTGTCACCCTAGGCCCTCCTGGGTGAGGCCGGCTCCTGGTGGCATGCCGGCTGGCGCCTTCCCTCCCGCACCCTCCCAGCAGGGCGGCCCCAGGCTGAGCCGCGGCCCGCCAGGGGCTGGGGACGGGCATGAGTCTCTGCAGGGACGCAGCCACAGGGACGCAGCCACGGGGACGCAGCCACGGGGATGCAGCCACGGGGATGCAGCCACGGGGACGTAGCCACGGGGACTCGGCCACGGGGACTCAGCCACGGGGACACAGCCAAAGGGACTCGGCCACGGGGACGCGGCCACGGGGACGCGGCCACGGGGACTCGGCCACGGGGACTCAGCCACAGGGACACAGCCACAGGGATGCAGCCACGGGGACACAGCCACGGGGACGCAGCCACGGGGCTGCGCCCACAGGGAAGCACTTCCTCCTGCCTTTGCCTTCTGGGGGCATCTGCTGTGGGGCCCCACAGCCCAGCAGGCGCCCCCCGGCTTGGGGTTTCCCCATGTCTTCACCCCACACTCCTTGGCTTCGCACAGCAGCCTTCCTGGCGGCATGGGCTGGTGTCCTGCGATTTGACGTGTGTCTGCACTGAGGAGTGTGGCAAGGATCCCCACTTCTCAGGGCCCCGGGCACAGACAGCCTGACTCCGCAGCGCACCTCCCAGGCTGAGAACCCGGACGCCGACCCCACAGGATGCCTCTCTGCCACGGAAGGCACAGGGCAGGTGGCAGGACCCCGGCTCTCGGGGCCAAGATTCCCCTGCCCACAGCTGGGCAAGTAAAAATGAAGCTGGGGGCATCCCGATTCCCCTCTCCTCAGAGCAGGCGGGAGGGCGTCCAGGACAGGCCCTGGCCACGCTCAGATCCCCTTGCCCGGAGCTCAGAGGGGCCAGGGCCGCCCCATGCAGGTGGCCGTGGTGGTGGACGAGGTCCTGGTGGCAGACAGCTCTGACCACAGCCTCACCGGTGGCCAGGTGGCACTGTGGGGTGGGGGCCTCCTGGACCCGGAGGCCCTGCGGCGGCTTCTCTGGGGAGCACGAGCTTCCTGACGGAGGACGTAGAAGGTGCGAAGCCCCGTGGTCTAAACAGGGTCTGAAAGTGGCAAAGGTGGCCGGGGGCGAGTCAGCAGCAGGCTGTAACTCTAGAAACATCTATCGTGAGAAGCGTTTTCAATAAGGGGCCATTTTGCAGAAGGGAAAACCTTCTGCAAAGTCCAGGGACGCGCCAAG